GGTCATGATCTCGCGGTTCGTGGGTTCGAGCCCCGCGTCGGGCTCTGTGCTGACTGCCAGCTCAGAGCCTGGAGCCTGTTTCAGAGTCTGTGACTCCCTCTCTCTCTGACCCTCCCCTGTTCACGCTTTCTCTCTCTCTCTCTCTCCTAGAAATAAATAAAACATTAAAAAAAATTTAAAAAAATAAAACATTAAAAAAAAAGAATAAACAATAAAAAAAAGTTCTGTAGGAAAAGCCAGGTGTACTATCTTCTGATCTAAGGTAGCAAGATGTATTTTAAATTATAACCCTCTTCTGAAACATTACAATGAGAAAACAGAGCCCAAAAGAATCCCTATCATATCTTATCTTTGAAAGAAAGGGTACCTGAGCTATATCAGCAAGCACCGCCATGCCAGCCCACCACTGGACCCTGAGTGGGATTCTGAGACCAATGCCCTCCTCCCCTCCCCCATCACCACCTCCACAATGAGGGGCAGCAACAGTCTCTGTGTTCAGAACTGCAGAAAAGTTTGAAAAAGAACAGCTATTTCCATTTTGAGGGTATTCACACTACTTAATATTTCTTCTTCATTCTCAATGAGATTTGACTTTAAATACAGTCAGACTTTATCGACACACTGGTTACTGGCTTCACGACTGTGCATGTGTGACTGAGGAGGCCACCCTGTGCCCTGCTGTCCACCGCCCTAACAAGGTCACACACTCGGCAAGGCAGAGACCACGGGAGAAGCCAGCAATGCGGTGGTGCTGCTCCCAAAGAGGGACAGGGCAGGGACCTCCACGAGTGAGGTGCTTGGAGGCTGCGCCGCAGGCTCGGGTCCAGGGGGACGTTCTGACACTTACCTTCCTGAAGGCCTGGAACCAGTTTGTAAACAATGTCCTGCATGGTTCTGTCATGACTGGCAAAGAGAATACAACAGGTAAGGTTAGCTAGAAATGCCACGTCCACGGCCCGTGAGTAATTTCCATTAACAGCATCAAACTCTACAATCGCAAATTTGAAATTTTGGTTGAATTTTGCTTCTAGTTAGCACTTAAAAAAATGTGCTAGCAAATTTATATATGACCTGAATCAATGCATCATTAATTCAGGTTCTAGAAGCTGAAGACATTCCAAGGAATGGCGGCACAGACAAGACCGTCTAGGTGATGAGCGCCCTCTGCCCGCTGAACGCGGGATGGACACACACACGCGCCCCCCCCCACACCTTTTCACTGGTGATTCCTGGGGTCTCCACTAGACAGGAAACTTTTCTTCCACGTTCTAAATAATGTAGAGAAAAGGCCCTGAGTCAGGCCCTTCCTGTGGTCTTTAAGATCTACCTAATAAAGGTTTTCTGAAAAGGTTACATAAGCACAGTATTTCAAATATAATTCCTACTCCAGCTTGCTATTTGTAAACATAACTTATTAATATGTTTAAGTAACTTTTCAAGTCAACTTTAATTTTCAAACATCGTGCATTAAAATAAAAACTCTTAAGTGCCCAGATAAGTAATATGTAAATAACGGACAAAGGATGGTGTTTCACAGAAGGTACAGACATTTAGGTGTCAGTGCTAATCTAGGGCCGGACACCCAGCAGCCACAAATGGTGGGTGACCAGGTCCTGCAGAGGCCATCACTCACCGTTTCCAAGAAGAACCTTTACGTTCTTACACACATCGGTCTGACGACTCAGCCTGTGCTGCGGCAGACCAAAGCAGCGTTTCTCAAATTTCTGACCCCGATGCACACGGCGAAGCATTATGGACCAGAGCTGGCTCACAGTTCACACACGACACCCACACCGGCTTTGTGGAAAGCTCCCCTGTTCCACGACGAGAGGACGGTGGAGCGGTCTCTGGGTCCCCCGAATGACGGTGCCAGGCCCCGCCTGCCTGGCCAAGGAGCCACAGGGCTGAGTGGGGGGCTGGGGGGCTGTCCTCGGGAAAGGTGCCCCCAGACAGGACGGAACAACACAGCAGATTCCTCCCCGTGTCGGCTCTTGGGGGGGCGGCCCCTTAAAAGAGGCTTTCGTGTTTTACACCCCAGGCCAGAAGCCACACCCTCTCAGCCTTCACTTGTGCCATGGTCTCTACCAGACACACAGGACAATAGCTCTTGGCTTTAATGTGAGGCCTGGAAGTGTGGAGCCGCCTCAGGGATCCAGCAAACACTAGGAGCTTAGGCTCAGCACCCGCCTGCGGCCAGCACTGCCTGGCAACATCCCACCTCCTAGGGCCTAAGACACCGCCCAGGGCCCCACCTGGTGCCAGCGGGCCCCGATGCGCTCTCCCCACGCCGCCCAGCCCAAAGCTGAAAGCCCTCCCCTTGGAGCAACTGCACAGTCAAGGGGCAGCAGAACCAGAGCAGGAAGCTGGGCCAGGTGTGGCTGGAGAAGCTGTGTCAGGAACAAGGCTCTGAACCTGGCAGACTTGAGGTCAGCAGGGGAGACCAAGACCACCACCCAGGGCCAGCGAAGCTCCAGGCAGAGCACAGAGAGCAAGCGGCAAGGGCCAGGACTGCCAGGAAAGAGCTACCCTGGAGCCCGGGGCCCACAGCAGCCTTGGGGCTGAGCAACGTCACCCAGCTGCAACCCCTGTCTCCCTGGCCCTGGTCACCACATGGTCACTGCACAGAGAAGAGGCAGGGCCCAGCCCTCTTGACCCAGGCCTGCACACCTAGCTGCCTCTCCTCCCATCGGCCCCCTTCTGTATGTTAGCAGGCTAGGCGAGGCCTGGAACACTGGGGTCTCAGACTGCTAATGGGCTTCAGCTCTCCAGACAGCCCTGCCTGCTGTTTCCCCAGAGCATGGGGGCAGCATCCTGGGCTGGGAGGGGGGGGGGGGCCATCCCACTAGCTTGAAGTCCCCACCACTACCTGCCTTGGTATGGTTATGTCAGGAAAGCACCCCCGAACTCTGCAAAACTACACCTGCCATTCAGGAAACATGCATAAACACTGCCAACAATTAGTACCTAGAATGTATCAAGCATTTCTTCAAAGCAAACAAATAAAATAAAGAACCCAAAAGAAAAATGAGATGCGAACAGACATCTCCCAGAAGCCTGAATGGCCAGATAAGTAACATCTGGGAAGAGTCCCATGCTCGCTGATAACCAGGACAGCAGGCCAAGATACCCCTACAAAGCCACATGTGGCAAGAACGCAGCCTACAGGCACCCACAGGACACACCGGTAAGGTCGGCACTGCACAGCAGCCCAGGAGAGCGCAGGAAGGCACAGGCGCTCTGCAACCCAACACCCTGCTCTGAGGGATGACAGAGGGGAGACGCCTGTGTGGGAATGCCCAGAGCAGCACTGAGGGCCCACAGTGGACACCCTGACGTCCACCTGCCACAGAGCTCCACGCCAACAGACCAGTCTGGAGAACAGGCTAGGTCAAGGGGAAGGTCCATGAAAACGCAGCTGGTTCCACATGTAGTGAGCTGGACCACAGGAGACTAAGCTATGTTGTTTGGGGACAGTGGGCTGGGGGGCAGGGGGCAGGGGAGGGCCTGGTGATCTCTACTTCTCCATCCGGGAGCAGTTTCTTACTTCGCTGCTGTAAGCTGTTCACGTGTTTTTAAATGCCTCTGTGCACACGACACACATCACAACTTTGGAGTGTGTGATACCTCTCTTCCTTCAAAACACATCTTCTGACCTGCCCCTGCTGCTCCCACGTGGTGTGGGCAGCACTTCGCTTCCTTTAAAACCCGCCCCCCCCACCCCCCACCAAATCTGGAAGTCACTGAAACTCTGCATGAAAGCCGCAAGCCAGCACTTCCTGCCCATCACGGCCTGACCCCCAGGTCAGGTCATGCCAGCTCCCTGACACCTCCCTCACAAATGCTGCTGATTCCAAGGGGGGGTCCAATCTCCCCGAAACCAAAGGAGGTGGCTCCTTGCAGCACCAGCTGCAAGATGCAGGCCACACACAAGGGGCAGCGACCCGGGACCTAGGACCACTTGTCCCACGACCAGAAGGTGGACCAATGGCTGCTCTCCACTTCAGAGTAAACTTCAGCCAATTTATTGTGCAAGTAGTGAAATCCAGGTGGGTCGTGTCCTGAGGTTCTTCAAATTACTCAATTTGAGCAAATATTCCTGGAAACTTGTGGGAACAGCCCCAGCGCTCATCGGTCTGACCTGGCCAGATCCGCCACCCTGTGTGGTCACGGATACCCCAGGCCAAGGTGGGTCCCTGACACACAGGGTGACGCCGGAAGCTGTGGCTCCGGGACCTGGGCCTGGGCGCACTTACCCAATGTACTGCAGCGGGTGGCTCTGGTGGATCACGATCCTACACGTGGGGCAGGTGTTATTCTCCTCCAAATACTTGACCAGGCAACTCCGACAGACTGCAAAAGCACACTCGTATCAGAAAGCAACCCGAGAGGGAGACGCCAGCACCCCCTCGGGCTCGGCAGACATGGAGGCCGCGGCGCAGATGGCCTCACGCATGGCCGCTACGATGGGGCGCCCGCCTCTCAGGTCTCAGGAATGACGGAGAGGCCCCAAGTGCTCAGTCAGCCACCTCACCAGGCAGATTTGTGGAGCAGGGATAAGAGGGGAGAGGAACCTAAGTGAGGAGGTGCTCAGAGCCCAAGAGCTGAGAAAGCACCAGAAACTACCTGTCTCACCCAAACCTCACCATAGGGGCTAACAGTATAATTTTCATGTTTGTCCAAAAAAAGATCACAAGATTTTCTTTTACATCAAACTTCAAGGAAATTCAGTGAAACTAACAATCTAAAACTACAGTTACCTTTAAAATAAAGGTTCTATCAAACTGTCAAATATTTTATTTTCTTAAGTGGAAAACACATGATCAAAAGTCATTCGCATTACATGCATTTGTTGTATTTCAAAGATCCTATCTACATGGAGTGCCTGCCGGCAGCTGGCAGAGGGGCTCCTGCCCAGCTTCTCACCCACCAGGAGGGTAATTACGCTTCAGGGTAAACAGCAACACCTACTGTCCAGCTGAGGGGGCGTGTTAACAAAACCCAGGTTCAGCACAAGCTAGGAGTCGTCTAAACATCAAAACACAGGCTTATTAGTCCTAAGGAGCCGAACCTCAGTCTTATGTTTAAAAGGTTTACGGAATTCATTGGGAAATTTAAAAAGGAAGCATTTCTGTCCACTAGAAATGAATATTCTGTCATAACACAGTTACTGGTTTTGCTGTTATATAAAAATAATTAAATTTTTTCCTGTACTTAGCTTTCTTCAATGGTATGTCTACTGAAATTACCCACAATGTTTTTAATTTGAAGTAACTTTTCTGATTTATTTTTAAGATCTTCTTTCTTCCTGCTTCTGTGTCTTGCTTTGTACTTGAGCTAAAAGCTTTTGGTTGAGAAAGGTAAGAAGGAAGCAAGAAGGAAAACAAAGGAACAAAGGAAGGAAAAAAGAAACCACAAGTATCAAGAAAGCACAAGGCTAGAAGTTGTCAAAGGCCACGTTCTAGAACATTCTGCCATACACATATGCAGACAGTTCACACACACACACCACAGCTGCCATGTTCTACAATATTCTCCACATACACGTATGCAGACACTCGGTCACCGTGGTCGCATCGATGAGATATCCGCTGCACAGGCGGCAGGTGATGTGGGCGTTTATGTCCCAGAGTTTAATCTTTCTGGTCAACATCTTTGGCTTCTACAAGAGAAAACCAGTATTAATAACTGAAATACTCCCATTTGTTTCATCAAAGGTTCAGGCTAAACGTAAATCAAGTTACAGCACATCTTCCCAGGAGGGGCAGCACCATGTGGATGGGGGCTGCCACCCCCTAGGGCAGGTCCAACCTGCAAGGGCTCTGTGGGAGACTTCTGTCTGGAAAAGGGACTGCTGTAAGTCCTCTCCCAGGGGACTGGGACCCTCCCGCCAAACACCTGGTGGGCAGCTCTCTGCAAATGCTACCGTTTCTTTAACTGCCCGGGGCACTGCCCTTCTCAGCTCCCTCACCCTCTGGCTCAGGACTGAGCTGAGGCCCGGTGGTGAGGCAGGTGGGCAAGTGAGGGAGGATCATGACGGTGCAGGAAGAGAGGCCGGGGGAACAGGCGGGCTGTGCTGGGTCTGGGACAGGAGCCTGAGGGGTCACTGCTAGAGCTTCTGGCTCTTCTGTAAAGCTGGGGGATAAATGATCCCAAGGGACACCAGCAAGGACAGTGCCCCTTCTCCTGAAGCGGCAGTCTTCCAGTGAGGCCTCAATACAGTCACACCACGTCATGCTGACATCAGAAGTGTCAGGGAAGTCAACATCCAGTCCTGACAAGGCCCAGGGAACTGGGCAGCCAGAGGGGCCCAGATGACCCAGATGGGACTGGAGCCATTCCATTTTAGACATTTATCTTAATAACTGGACAAGTTCAAAAGATGCTCGCCACAGGGGCACCTGGGTGGCTCAGTCAGTCAAGCCTCTGACCTCAGCTCAGGTCATAGTTTCAGGGTTCATGAGTTCGAGCCCCACATCCAGCTCTGTGCTGACAGCTCAGAGCCTAGAACCTGCTTCAGATTCTGTGTCTCCTCTCTCTGCCCCACTCCGGCCTGCACTCTGTCTCACAAAAGTGCATAAACGTTAAAAAGAGAAAAGATATTCGCTGCAATTGTTTCAAATGGCAAATCATTTAGCCAGCAGGGGCTTCAGACCCTCCCCCTCTTCCCTCTACCCTGTCCAAGGAAAGCCCAAGCAGCCCTCCAGGACCCCACCCTCCCTGGGGCTCAGTAGCCTCTTGGCTCAGCAGTGCCCAGGCCCAGAAGCAGAGGGGCACACAGAAGCCCCCACCGTGGGGACGCTGGAGTACCCGAGGCCACCTGCTGATCCCCGTCATTATCTCACAGGATGTCAGCACCACATACAACATGGCAGCATCGAAGTCCAACCATCTGTGCACCAAAGTGCTGCCATGCTGTCTCCATCTCAGGGCCCCTTCCTGCTCTGGCCCAGCTTTCTCCGTCTCTCCGGCTAGACTGCAGGCTCCCGAGGAGGGTTTTGTCACTGTATCTCCTGAGCTGCGTCAGGACATGGAACAGCTCCTGGAGATGGCCATGTCCCACTCCAAAGCCTGTGTGTTCCCTCACACGGCAAAAAGTCCTTGAGCTGGGAGATGGTCCCAGATGACCCCATAGATGCCCTGTCATCTCAGGGCCCTTAAAAGGGGTGATGGGAGGGTCCGAGTCAGAGAGACTGGGAGCGTTAGGCTGATGGCTTGAAGGTGGGCCATGAACCAAAGGTGAGGTGCCCCAGAAGTTGGAAAAGACAAAGATCAATTTTCCCCTGAAGCCAGAAGGAGCCAGCTCTGTGGGCACCTTCACTTTGGCCCAGTGAGACCCTTTGGACCTCCGACCTCTGGAGCTGTCAGATGACACATTTGTGCTGCTCTGGCCACCAAGCCTGTGGTCCTTTGTTGCAGCAACAGTAGGAAACCCACCCAAAACGCTGCTCCAGTAAATATTACAGAATGGATGCCTTCACGGTAAGAGGACTAAGAGAAACAGATACTCCTGGACATCAGAGTCAAAGGCATCACTGAGGGTGGCTGGCCGCACCCAGTGGCCACAGCACACACAGCTCCCAGGCCGCCAGCAAGGACATTCACTGCTCAATGCCATTTAAGAAAAAGGAAAAAGAAAGCAAACTGCTTGGAGGATTTCGGACCCGCTTCCATTCGCATGAGGTCCGAAGGCAAGTGCCAGTTGCGCCTGCTGCCGTGCAGCGTGGCACGGGGGCCTGCCCAGAGCCTGGGGGCTGCACGAGGCAGTGAAGGGCCTGGAATGAGCAAGGAGTCTGGAGGCACATGTCGCCCATCCTGAGACCCAGCAGCACCAACAAACCGTCAGAGCAAACGAACGCAATCAGCAAGGCCACTACCCTGCAGTACCACTCGGTGCTTCCCACAGGGAGCGACACGGAAGCAGACACCCCCGCGGGTTTGCCCACATCACTCCTCCCTCCGCATCAGGCTGCAGCAGACTCGTCTCCACTGGAGACGACCTTCCCTAACTCCTTGCAGCCAGGTGTGTCTGTGGGTTGGGGTTTACCGATGTTACTAGGAATCTAGTAAAAATTAAATGGAACTTGGTGGAACATTTTCACAGGGGTTCTTATGGGCCAACCAGTCCTGTTAGCCTAACTCCACAGGAAGGAGCCTCATCTGGTAAAGATGGGCCCTCTCTGAGCGGACGTGGGTTTGCACTCTTTCCTCAGCGAGTGTGTGCACTGAGGCCAGCCAGGTGACTGACAGGGGAACCCAGCACCACCTTGTGGAACAGTTAAAAAAGAGAGAGAGAGAGAGAGAGGGAGAGAGAGAACATCCCAAGAGAAGGGACACCCTGGAATCAATCCAAGCAAAGCAGAGGAGGAAACGGGGCCCCATGCTGGCCCCAAATGAGTGCTGCCCTCACGTCCTTGGCCTTCTACGGAGCAGCTCTTTCTAAGCCAGCCGCTGAGGATGCGACCGCATGCAAATATTTCCATCAGACAGTAACGCGCTCAGCAACAAAGTTTCTTCTCAACCACCAGGTAACGAACCACGGAACTGAAGCCACAACAGTGCTGGTTCCAGCAGCACAACACTGAAATGAGAACAGGGCCCTGCACCAGGGTGACACGCAAAAACAGAGGCCACGGGCAAGCCGGCACTGACAGGGCCTTTGGCCCCTTTGAGGGACCAGGGTCAGTGTGAGCTCATGCTTAGGGAGCAGGTGGGTGAAGAGACAAAGGCGCGTGGGTGCGCCTGAGCGTGGGCTCCCACACCCACTTCCCAGCTCTGCCCACCCGGAGGGCCTGGGGGTAAGCGCTCCTTGGCGGCGCAGGCCCCCGTGTGTTTACAGCACTGTCCGCCGTGGGGAACCAGGCGGGGCCGGGAGGGTAACAGAGCTGGAGCGGAGGGGACCTGGCCCCAACTCAAAAGGGATCCACTGGCCACACTGGGGACAACTAGAACTTCGCGATAAGCAGTGACTACCATTAGGTGAACATGATGAGTCAGATTATAATCAATAGGATAACCGAAGCTCACACGTCCGCACACAGCCAGATGAATAAGGAAGGCATACGTGTCTTTCCAGAAGGTGAGCGGCTCATGTGGAAGCAGGAGTCACCACACCACAGTAACTAGTGACATTTTCTTCAGGAATCACCAGTGGAGGCTTTATTGAGGAAGAGAAGATTCAAACAGTTGCAAAGACACCCCCCCCACACACACTTTTCAGGCAGAGGGAGTGCAGGGCCTCAGGGTGGAGACACTGCGCAGACATCACTTACTGAGTGACCAGGTGACACCAGATGGGCAGCAGGTGTGCCTTCAAGCCGTGAAGGACACAGCACCCCTCCCGCTCCAAGAACACGCACAAGTCTCACCGCCAGGACCCCAGATGAGCCCCGAGGAAGGGAGGCCACAGGGGAGAGGGGAAGGTGGAGGGGCAGGCTGCCTGAGCGCAGCGCCTGGCTCAGAGGACAGCCCTGACTGCCTGCTGTCCACCCATATTTGGAGACAAGAGCAGCCTTGAGACCCTCCGCCATCAACTTCCCATTCTGCCCACGCTGGGCCCCATGGCCAGCCAGCCTGCTGTCCCCAGGCCTATAAGGACTGCACTCAGAAGGGAAGTGTCCACTGTCACCATGTTGCAGGAGGCCCGTCCCTGCACCTCCCATGCTCGGCAGCCCTCGTGCAGCACTGGACCCTGGACCCCAGGGGGCATGAGCCAGAATAGCAAAGGGTGCCCAGCTTTAAGTGCTGCACCCTCCACAAGCTGCACCTGCCAGCAGACCTGGGACACCTCGCCTGGCTCGTCTGAGATCCCTGGGTGGAAAGGAGGGTGACAGAGCCCCATGGACACCAGGGGACATCAGCAGCCAATGTGAACACATGGCCCTGTCTCAGTAGTGGGTTTTCGCAGCTGTGGACCCTCCCTACCCACACCAGGGGCTGCGGGACGGCGGGCTGGGGGGTCTGGGGGGACCTTCCCCACCCACACCAGGGGCTGTGGGACGGCGGGCCGGGGGATCTGGGAGGACCGTGCCTCACCTCCTCTAGATGTCTTCAGCGCCTCCTCCTGCCTTTGCACTGGGCGCTCAGGCTGCGGCCCTGATGCGGGGGCACCCCACCAGCAGCTTCACTCTGCCTTGCGCGGCTTCACATCTGGGCCTCCCTTCTGCCCCTTGCTCTCTGTCCATTTTCTAGCACAGAAACAGCACGTGTCATTTCATGTCATGTCTTATATATGATGCACACAGTCCTATAATGAAGTTCTTTCTAGAATTTTTAGGTGAGTCCCACATAGCAAACAACAGAACAGAGTAGACCAGAAGTATAATTAAGAAAAAATGTGAAGATATGTGTAAGTAGTTATACCCTAATCTCCTCCAGAGCTATCAGAGATTATATTTTAAAGGAGTTATAAGGAATTGACGTTTTCTGTGGTTACAATATTTACCTGTACATGGCAGCCTGGAACCCTCTGCTACATTTTGAAGCCTGTGGAGACAGACAATACAGGGGCATCATCCCACACGTGCTAACACAGAGCCAATGCCCTCCCGCCTCCACTGCCCCGACCAGCGGCTTTGGCTTTGCCCAGTTAAACTGGTCTGTTCTTTTGCTTACTTAAAACTACCAAGAGAAAAACAAGAATTGACAGTGAAAAACCAGGATCAACCCAAGAGACACAGGGAGGTCTCAGTGGTGGTTTGGTGTCACGAAGGCCCAGGGGCTGGTGGGCTGGAAGGGCATGGGAGATAGGGGAGTGCGCGGGGGCCTATGGGAGGCGTGGGGGCAGGCAGGGGCATCCCGCGGTATGAAGCCCGAGGAGACAGGAAGACGGTCGGTGAAGGTCTGCTGTCTCAAGGGCAATTCTACCAAGTGTTCAAGGAGCCAAAACAAACCTACTCAAACAAGTCCACTTAGAGAATCAAAAAGACAGTATTTTCCAACTCTTTTTATGAAGCTAACATACACACACACCAGACCAGAACTGGAAGGAAAATCAGACTGAACTCACTGGTGGGCATCAGTGTCAAAATCAGATGCACATGGAGTCACTTGACCCACTATCTGAAAAGGAGGCTCATGCTTGACAAACTAGGTTTACCCCAGAATACAAGGGGGCTTAATATGAGAAAGAAAGTAATTGACAAAAGACAAAAGAAGAAAAATGATAAGATCTTCCCAAAGATGCACAGAAATCATTTGATAAAATTCATTATCCATTCATGATTTAAAAAAACTCTTAGTGGGGTGTCTGGGTGGTTCAGTCAGTTAAGCGTCTGACTTCAGCTCAGGTCATGATCTCACGGTTCGTGGGTTCAAGCCCTGCGTCGGGCTCTGTGCTGACAGCTCAGAGCCTGGAGCTGCTTCGGATTCTTTGTCTCCCTCTCTCTCTCTGACCCTCCCCTGCTCACAATGCCTCTCTCTCTCTCTCTCTCTCTCTCTCTCTCTCTCAGAAATAAATAAAACATTTAAAAAAATTAAAACAAAACAAAACTTTAAAAGATACTGGGGAGAACATCTCCTAACGTCAGGTGAGGAAAAGATTACAAAACAGAATTACAAGGCACTAACCACAAAGGGAACACCTATCAAGAGCAACTTTGTTAGAGAGAAGTAGTCAGATAATCAAAACACAAGAGTGCAAAAAGCCACGGTGCACAGAACACCCCGAACACCCCCACGGGGAAGACTACAGTCCAGACAGCGCTCGGCAAGGCTGGTCTATAAGCGAAGCTAGGGTGGGGCCTGCCACGCCCACTACCTGTGTCCCGTCTGTGACTGCTTTGGGACCAAGGAGTGAGTTTCTACGCCACATGACCCAAAAAGCTAAGGTATTTGCTGTCCCATTCTTTACGGAAGACCTTTGCCAATGCCTGCTCCAGACCGTAAAAGGAACCACAGGCACTTCACAAAAGAGGAAATCCAAACAAGCATATTTTCAAACGTTCAGCTTCCTAAGCAACTCAGAAAATGCAAGTTAAACGTCCAGCGAGGGTCTGTTACAGCACGCCCCCACCTCCCGCCCCCAGCGAACTCTCCTCCCTGGCGTCTGACAAGACTCCAGTGACAAGGACGTTACCAGCATAACCTGTCTCCAAGGTCACCGGTCACTGCCCCGACCGTGATCTGGTCAACCCCTCAGGTCTGGCTCCTTGCCCGAGTTCACGGACACTGGCCGCACTGGTGCCGGAGCCTTCCGGAGCCACAGGTGGCGTGACCCTCCACACTCTTCAGGAGCCAGAGCCATGCTGTGTGAAGGGGTGCTGCCTCCCTGCCCACTCGCCCTGGGCCAGCCTTCAGTCAGCCTCGTCCACCACGAACAGTGCTCTCTCTTAGGCCGGTGCCTCTGTCCTGGCCACTCTGCTGCCCACTGCTACATGGTCTGGAACACGGCTTCCCTCTGACTCCGGCAGGCACCGGTCAGGGGGTGCTTCCGCACCCGCCCTCCCCATGTCATACCTATATTATCCACGACTGTCCTTTAGGTAAGCACATTGGGTTTGTTTTGCAGTGAAAGCAATATGCACATTTATTAAACATGATCTGGAAAGTAAAGAATACTACCAAGGAAAAAACCCTACAATCCTAATCACCAAAAAGTAACTGCTATTCTTAGCCTGATGGTGTATCTCCCTCTGTGGGTATACGCTTAAATACTTTTCACATGTATACACAGAGCTCCATGTTTACTAAAAAGCCAACCTCAGACTAGATACAGTGCATCACAGTGCGGTTTTTATCACTAGTCAACCACGGTGGGTGCCTTGCCTGCCAGCACACACAGCAAGCGGGCTCCAGGGCTCCAGGGCTCGGGCCCTTGGGTCTCAGCCGCAGTGAGTGAGGACGGCGTATGTGGTGCGCCTGACCCAGAGACGCGGGGCATGACGGCGGCTCCATGACCGTGGGGCCCCCAATGGCAGCACCCCCTCCAGCTGGTCCCAGCTTCCCTCCCCTCCATTCCACCTGCGGCCTGGACCCTCCTTAGGGCCCTCCTGCCCGGGGACCCTCAGGAGAAAGAACCTGCACCCACCCCCTCGTGGGAACACCTAGGGGTCATCCTTTCCTTTCATTAACCTCATCTTACAAAAACCTTAAAATTTTCCACTTTTTTTTTCTCATATTTTTTAAATGTTTATTTATTTACTTTGTGAGCACGCACAAGCGGTGGCGGCAGGGGGAGGGGGGCGCAGAGAGAGTGAAAGAGAGAATCCCAAGCAGGCTCTACGATGTCAGCACAGGGCCCAACATGGGGCTTGATCCCACAAACCACGAGATCATGACCTGAGCCGAAATCAAGAGTCAGATGCTCAACCGACTGACCCACCAGATGCCCCATTCACTTGCTTTTTAATTACTTTTGCTAGGTTGTATTTTTCTAGATTATTCATCAAATTCACTGGCACGAAGTTGTTCATATTATCTACCCCATAACCTTTACTACACAGCTTTACTGAGGAATATCTGACACACATTTAAAGAGACAACTTGGTAAGTTTTGACGTTTGCCTGAAAAGAACTACCACGATGGAGAGGAGGACCCTGGCCCCAGGGAGCCCTGACCTGCCCAGGGCTGCACGGAGGTGGCGTGTTTGTGGGGTCCCATGGCTTGGCTCGGCTCCCTCACCCTGTTTTCAAGGCTCACTCATGTTGTCACATGAACAGCTCATTCTCGTTCTGAGCAACGTCTGTTGTAATTTCGTTGGCCCACTCACCAGTAGAGGGATATTTGGGCTGTTTCCGGTGGGCTGTGAGGAGCAGGGCTGCTGTGAACACTCACGGCCACATCTTTGGGTGGACGTGTGCTCCGGAGTGAATCTCCACTACAGGAGCCACACGCAGCTGTCTGACAACTTTTTAAGAAACTACCAACCTGCTCCCTGGTCCTGGCCACCTCTGAGCTCCAGCTGCCCTGTGGGGTCCTTCTTTCTTCTCTCCTTCCTCCCTACACCACCCTCACCCCAGTCCTGCCCCTTTCTCCCTGAACGCCCTCTGTCGGCCTTCTGTGCCCATGGCCAATCCCTGGACACTCCATGGCTCCCATCTGGATGGCAGATCCACCCAGGACAGGCCTCCCTACACCCAATCTCACGGACAAGTCTAAGCAACATGTAGAAAAGCAAATCAGACATGTCCTTCCTGCATGAGACCCCTGAAGGGGTCCAGACTCCTGGTGAGCCATGCCCTCCCACCAGGCGCCAGCCCCACCAGCCTCATCCACGTCAGGGCTCCCATCCACGTTAGCCTTGTCCATGTCAGAGCCCGTCCACGCCCGCTCCACTGTGTGCACCATTCCCGCCAGCCTGGCCCTCTGTCCTCAGGGCAGCAGGCTGTCAGTGTCTCAGTGAGACCCCGAGCCTCCTGGACAGGCTCCCCCATCCCCAGGTCTAAAGCCAGCAGCTGCTCTATCCCCCACGCCATCGGCATCTTCAGTGTGCTGTGCCAGCCTGCCCCCCCAGGGCACTGTGAACCCCAAGCAGGCTGAGGCTGCAACCTCACTGGGGGACATCATGTCTGGCAGAGTGCCCACGCCAGCGCTGGTGCTCAGGAAGCCAATGCTGACCAACCAACGAGAGAGTTCTATCCACACCTAAGCACTCTAGACCTATTCGCACTTACTTGTACACAAAAATCACCAAACTGCTGAACTCTGCCCCATGCCCAACACCCTCTCCTCACAAACCAGTCTGCTACAATTTGGGACGTTTATGTGTAAAGCTGAGCGAAGCTGCCTCCACAGGCTGTGCCCCGCTCCCTCCCACCAGCCAGAGGACCGGAGTCAGCACGCAGCCGGCGCTTAAGAAAGAGACCTGCTTTGTGCCATCTGGTCCACTGCAGCCTCTTGCCTGTGGCCCACCTCCCAGGCCCCCGGCTCCTCACTCCTCTCCCTGTGACACCTGCTCTCACCCATTCTCTTTGCAGATCTGCTTGGGGGGGGGGGGGGGCTGCACTGACAGCTGCTGAGCAAGCACTCTGTGACGGCGTCACAGGTCCTCAAGCAGGGCTCTGCACGTGGGCCAAACACCCAGGGTTTATTGCAATCTCCAGATAAACAGAACCAGATCATGAAGGTTCCTCACTGGGATACTGAAATCAGGTCAAGACTACAAGAAAAAGGGAAACTTTAAATGTATTTCTACGTGGCTACATACCACCATGAAGCCTTTTTAAAAAAGTAATGAATAACAAAAGTGCTTTGAATTTAGACTCTCAAAAGGGTTTGTGACTCAAAGGACAACGAAATCTCTGCTCCACCTTCTCCCCTAACTTGGACCCGACACCCCACTCCACCCCTGCCGCCCCCTCACCCCCAGGTCACCATGGTCTCAGCCCTGCAGAAAGCTGCACAGGGCCCCTCCCCAGGCCTCATCCTCACTTCCACGTTCAGGGCCGCCTTGGCCCCCCACGCACAGCTACTCCTCCTGCATTGCTGGGTGCTGTGGGGAGCACACAGTACCCCACTGTGTGTTCGATGAATACCTGCTCCAGGA